AGAGCTACTCAGACAGCAATCACCCCCACGAAAGCTTTCAACTACTGCAATGGCTGAGAGACCCAGGCCACCTACACACCCATCATTTAAGTGTTTTTGGTGTGGACAAGAAGGACATCGAGCGGTCACCTGTCCAGTCCCCTACCCCTGACTGCAGAGCAGACCAGAAACAGCAATGAGAAAGAAACCTGCTCAGCGGCTAACGAGATAAAAATCCAACCAGCTCACGCAGGAACCTGTTGCCCGGATTATACCCCCCACGCAGGAGAATGCCGAGACTCCGGGTGGACCCGCTCCTGCTCTACCCTCCTTTGACAGCAACGATGAAGGAGAGAACGACCCGATGGTGAGTCGACAAATCCCACCTTTTTCACTGGCCGCCAAACTTATAATCCCTAAGTCTGGGGCACAAATGGACTTAAACGTGCTAATTGATTCTGGATGCACCCGCTGCATTATTAGTCTGCCGTTTGCCATGAAAATGAGCATACGGGCAAAACAGCTTTCCAAACCAGTGAGGTTTGAGCAAGCCGATGGCTCCCTGATGGGAGGGACTCTTGTCACACAATTAACCGAGCCCTTATGCCTAGAAACAGGTGCACACTGGGAGTTTATTCACTTCCTGGTGGCTCCAAAAATGACTGAGGCGGTGATCCTAGGGCTAGCCTGGTTAGACAAATGGAAGCCGTTTATCTGGTGAGAGAAAGGAATGAGAACCGTGAAACTACCTATAGGGCTTAATCCCCCCATTGATTCAACAGAAGTTGCAGGGCATCTTAGGCCACCCAATGAGCGAGCGCACATGGCCCCCCCCACCGCCCCCAGGCAAGCCAGTCATCCCCAATGAATACCGGGACCTGGCGGAGGCATTTAGTGAAAAAGAATGTGATGCCCTACCCCCTCACAGACCCAATGACTGCTCCATCGAACTGGTGCCAGGACCCAAACTCCCATGACCGAGAATGTATGCTATGTCCCCCCTCGAAATGGAGGAGATGCAGCGGTACGTGAACAAAAACCTAGCGAGAGTGTTCATTGAACGGGCCAAATCCACTGTGGGAACCCTGTGTTGTTCAAAGAGAAAAAAGATGGGTCTCTTCATCTCTGCGTAGACTATAAGGGTCTCAACGTTGTGAGTGTGGAAAGCAAATACCTTCTCCCCCTCCTAAAGGACTTATTAACCCATCTGGCTAAGGGGAGTGTCTTCACTAAATTAGACCTGAGAGAGGCATACTACCGGGTGAGAATAAAAGAGGGAGACGAGTGGAAAACTGCCTTCAACTGTCCTATGGGGAGCTATCAGTTCAAAGTCATGCCATTTGGACTACAGGGGGCCCCAGCTGTATTTATGCAGTTGATTAATGAGGTCCTACATGATCACTTGTACAAAGGGGTTTTGGTGTATCTTGATGATATCCTGATATACAGCACGAATATGACTGATTACATAAAGCTGGTGAGAGAAGTGTTAAAGAAACTATTGAATGCCAAGCTTTATGCCAAAGTATCGAAATGTGAATTTCACCAAACCTGATTAGACTATCTTGGCTACAGAATTTCCAACGAGGCTATTGAAATGGATCCAGCCAAGATGAAAGCTATAATTGAATGGCAGCCCCCAAAGACTACAAACAGCTCCAGAGCTTTCTGGGTTTTGCCAACTTTTATCGTCAATTCATCCTCTCTTTTGCCGAGATTGCCCTACCCCTTACAGAACTACTCAAAACAGGCAAAGGAGGAGGGAAGCCACGACCGGGCCAACCACTAGCATGGACAATGGGCTGTCAAACAGCTTTTGAGAATTTAAAGAGACTATTTGCTGCTGAACCAGTCCTAAAGCACCCCTGCCCGGGGGAACCCTTTGTGATTCAAGCTGACGCCAGCGATGTGGCAGTTGGAGCGGAGGGCACCTGAGGATATTCAGGTATTGGGCTGAACTCTTTTCCTGTGGCCACTCTGAAAGGCGTGTAGCCGGTGCTGCTGTGCACAGAATTATTGTATGCCACCTCCGCAAAAGGGAGGAGGTCAGTCCAGTTCGTCTGCTGGTAAGAGACATAGCATCTAAGATATTGCTCCACCATTTTGTTAGCGGATTCTGCAGCCCCATTGATGGCCGGATGAAAAGCAGATGATAAACCTTGAGATGATCCAATCAAATTAAGAAAACTCTTCCAAAACTTTGCTGTGAACTGCACCCCCCCGCTTAGGGGCTCTATGCAGCCGGTAAATGTGTTTCAGGAACAATTTGGTCAGTCGTTGGGCAGATGGGAGCCCTTTGCAGGCTATGAAATGAGCCTGCTTTGAGAACAGGTCTATCACAGTCCAGATGACAGTATTTCCTCTACTTTCAGGTAAGTCTACTATAAAGTCCATAGCTATTTCTTCCCAGGGTTGAGAAGGGTCTGCCACCGGCTGCAGTAACCCGGGGGGCTGGTTTCCCTGGGATTCTTTTCATTGTGGCACATACAGTACAACTTTTTACATAGTTTTCTACATCCCGTTTCAGCCCCGGCCACCAAAATTGCCAGCGGGTGAGGTGTAGGGTTTTCAAATATCCAAAGTGTCCAGCCTGTTTTACATCATGGCTGTGTTTGAGAGCATTAAGACAGAGGGCTTCTGGCAAATATAGTTTCCCCCCTTTGTAAGCCAAGCCATCACGGCACGGTAGGGAGGTGTGATTATCTTTGAACCATTGATCGGTGAGGAGCTCTCGTTTTATTTTCTTTACTCCAGGATCATCAGGATTGGGGAGGTGTAAGTTGAGCAGCAGTTTGTGGATTGGGGATAATTGCCTCGTTAACCTCCTCCCATTCGCTTTTGTATTGGGGTAACCGGGGGGTGGGATTGTTAGTTTTGTTTTAAATGGTGTTCTTACCAGACTGTTTAATTATTTTGCACAGTTCTTGAACTTTGTTAATTTTAATATGTAATTGTTTAGCATAACATTTTACATCAATTTATGCTATATTATTTTATGGAAAAGAGTGCAATCTAAAGGTTTCATTTCCTCCACAAATTAGTGAGATTTTACAAACCTTTTGCTGGACTATATTCTCTTTTCTAACTACTATGATATGAGAAATAAGAGAACTGAAATATTTCTGTACTATAAATCACAATATGTCTGAATTCAAAATGTAAAATTCAGAAATATTTTTTTATATAAATCAGTATTTAATCCCAAAAATATAGCTATGGCTTCTATTTTCTTTGGGTACCTCATCATATTTACTATGAATTTGCAATCAATATTGCTATCTTTTTTCATATAATAGTAGTGGATGAAATTCATGATAGTTAATAAAGCACATTCAGTATAATAAGGCTGATATATAATCTTCCAGTGTTTTAGGATTGTGAGAATTATCTGGCAGAAAAATGCAAGTCGTCTTTATGGCTGAATGAAGCAATACTAATGTTTTTGTTCCAAATAATGCCTCTTAGAAAATTTCACAAAACTGTTGCTTGTGAAGCTATTAGGAACAGAGTATTAGGAAAGTGAATTCCTTCCTGTTTTTGAAAGAAATTATTTTTATAACTGTTTCATGGCAGCATTTCTGTGGACTTCACCCTGGTTTAGATATCATATATATCATATCATATCTCATATTTGATATCATACATCATACTTGCACTTAATTAAAAACTGATTTACGGAGAGAGTTTTACTTATGTGAGTGCACTTGATTCCACTGATGTGAGTGCACTTGATTCCACTGAGTTATCAACACCTGCAAAACGTATAGAGAAACAAATCTTATGAGGAAATGTTGTGTCAGAAATACAGGTAGTCCTCATTTAATAAGTCCCTCATTTAGCAACCAATTGCATGGTTTTTTTAATGACCAGTAGTCCTCACATTTATGACTTTCACAGGTCTGTAAAGCAAGGGAAAGCTGAAGTAAGATAGTAAAATCATGATGTTTTACTTAGAAACTGCTTTGTTTAATGACCAAGTTGCTGGTCCCAATTATGGTCACTAATGCCTGCAGAGAGCTTTTCTCTATAATTTTGCATGTGAATGTAGCTTGATAACTACCACAAATATTTATTTTATTTGTGGTATATAACAAAATAAGATTAATTCTGAAGTGATCTACATAAGAATAGCTAATCGCATGATTTGCTTTCAGCTCCTAATTAGTCTGAGCTTCCTTCCTCCTTTCCTTCCTTCCAGTAATAATTGTTATTACAAACAAGATAACAATAGTGCCAATAGTAATAGGTACCTTGGGTGCAATCCCAAAACGTCTGGAACACCACTTGAATACCATCGGCATTAACAAAATCTCCATTAGTCAACTGCAAAATGCAGCTTTATTTGGAACAGCTTACATCCTGTGATGATACCTTTAACGCTATTAAACAACACTATTTGCCAATCCTGGGTCCTTGAGAAGGACTCTAAAGATAGCTAAGGTGGATAAAATGCCAAATCCAGTCTAAACATCTGGCTGACTGTACGAACAACCATAATTTTAATTCTTAAAGTTTGGGCCCTGATTCTTAAGTTGAAAGAACGATTTATTGGGAAATATAATAATAATAATAATAATAATAATAATAATAATAATAATAATAATAATAATAATAATAATAATAATAGTAATAATAGTAATAATAATAGTAGTAGTAGTAGTAAAGTTGGAAGGGACCTTGAAGGTCATCTAGTCCAACCCCCTGCTCAGGCAGGAAACCCTATACCATTTCGGACAAATGGCTGTCCAGTCTCTTCTTAAAAACTTCCAGTGTTGGAGCATTCACCGCTTCTGGAGGCAGGTTGTTCCACTGGTTAATTGTTCTCACTGTCAGGANGGTGACCAAAACTGGATGCAGTATTCCAAGTGTGGCCTTACCAAGGCATTGTAAAGTGGTATTAACACTTCACGTGATCTTGATTCTATCCCTCTGTTAATGCAGCCTAGCACTGTGCAATTTTAAAAAATAGCTTAATGTATTTGAAGTTAAATATTAAATAGTCTCATCCTGTCATTTGGCAGAATACATTGCAGAATCCTTTTGTACAAGTTTTCATCAGAGTCATGGTGAAGCTGGATGCTGTTGAACTGTTAAACCAAATTAATGAACTGGGTAAGTTATTGCATACCTTCATTTTACCAATCAGGTACAGTATAGGTTCTTGACTGAATAGTGATGGTACTGTAGTATATGATGAATGTGAAAAATAAGAATATGAGGAGTGTGAGCCTATAAGGTTTATTCTTCATAAAACTTGAAAGACTGAAAATAAATTTAGAACAAATGAGCAGAGGGTTTTTTCTTAAGTGACTAATCTGGGAATTCTAAGCACTGAGATAACAAAATAACAAATTATACTTTGGGTCATAGTTTTCAATTTCATATTATTGAATTAGAATGACTATCTTTTCAGGATAGTGACATCAAATGAGCTAAAGTAGTTATTTAAGTCCAGTTCCGCTTCATGTATATATTAGTTTTTAAAGTAGCAAATGCACCACCAGCTATTTCCTTCTGTAGCTTGGGGTGAAATTTATCTGATCCTGTAAATTTAAATTCATTTAAAGTAAAGGGTTAGTCCCCAACCATGTTTCTACCAATCTCAAGCTACAACACTATTAAATCAATTTGCTAGAGGGACAGATAGATTTTTGTTGGAGAAAATGGATCAAATGGAAGTTGAATAGGTTTTCCTTTCTTTTGTTTCCTTTCTTCTCTTCACTGAGCTGTAATATACCGATTCTTCTAATATACTGATTCTTCTAATATATTGATTCTTTTCTTTCTTTGTATTTTGAACAAATCACAAAAACCCTCTATTTCTATTATTGATAGTAGATGCCCCTCAAAAATGCCATTGCTAAATTAATTCCTTTGAATTTCTGAACAGAAATATTTTTGACATATGAATGATCATTGTTAATATATAGTCGTCTTCTTCTTCTTCTTCTTCTTCTTCTTCTTCTTCTTCTTCTTCTTCTTCTTCTTCTTCTTCTTCTTCTTCTTCTTCTTCTTCTTCTTCTTCTTCTTCTTCTTCTTCTTCTTCTTCTTCTTCTCCTCCTCCTCCTCCTCCTCCTCCTCCTCCTCCTCCTCCTCCTCTTTCTCCTCCTGAAGGAAGGACAAGAAGCAATGGATGGAAACAAATCAAGGAGAGAACCAACCGAGAATTAAGGAGAAATTTCCTGACAGTGAGAACAATTAACCAGTGGAACAGCCTGCCTCTAGAAGTAGTGGCTGCTCCATCATTAGAGGTTTTTAAGAAGATATTGGACAGCCATTTTGCTGAAATCATATAGAGTCTCCTGGTTGAGCAGGGGATTTGACTAGAAGACCTCCAAGGCCCCTCCCAACTCTATTAAATATTCTGTATTCTGTAACTCAGGGTCTCTAGTTTGATTTAGTAGTTAAAGCATCAGGCTTGAAACCGGGAGACTTGTGAGTTCTAGTCCCACCTTAGGCATGAAAGCTAGCTGGGTGATCTTGGGCGAGTCATTACCTCTCAGCTTAAGTCACCTCACAGGGTTGCTCTTGTGGGAAAAACGGGAGGAAGAAGGCATAATAGATATGTTTGCTGCCTTTAGTTGTTCATAAAAATGTGGGATATAAAATAAATAAATAATAATCATAATAATAGTGCACTGAACCAATTTCAAAAATACTTACAGTTTCTATTCTTTAACTGAGACTTTATTTCATGTCCACCCCCTTCAGCATTCACTTTAAAGACACAAACACATTTTTACCAAAGCTTGTAAACTACAACCATCTTGTATCAGCAATCTATCGTCTAGACAATTCAGACCGGGGTTCAGAAAACCAGAATTTCCTACTGACATCATTTGTATATCTTTTCATTGTCCTATAATATATTGTTTTCCCCTTGCGGGTCATCTTTGTTGGATTGTAAAGATGGATACCACCTGAATCTTAGGTCTTAAGCTTTCTGTTATGATTTTCAAAAGCCATGGAGATACAATGGTAAATGTTTTTGTAGTACCATTTGCCTCTGTATCTTTGGCAGAAGTTTTTCCTCTCACACCTTTATTCCTGACAAATTTGAGTTATTTTCTTTCAATTCTCCATTAGCAAGATACCTACTACTCTTCTGTTTTTCTTCTATTATGGCACAGTTTCATCCTCTTTTACTGTCTAGGGATCCTCCACCCTGTCCCCTATTCTGCATTGCCTCTTTTTGTTCCCCTTAATGCTTAGAATCTGTTTCATTTGGAAGTGCATGAAAATTCTATATGTTAAGTGAAGCATCTGCTATATAGTGTCTTAATCTTTTCTAGCCACTGGAGTATGTAATAATGTAACGAGTTACTTGAAGGGCTGAAAATAATTGACTAGTTCTTATAAATGGTTTTCATATTAAGTGTATTATTTATATAACAAATTTATATGGCTGTCTACTCACGGGAAGTGATTCTGAGTGGTGTACAAAAAAGATATAAAACAATAAATATTTTAAAAAAGCAATTATTTTATACGTTAAAAAAGTATAAGGCACACAAGAGATTAGATTAGCAAGGGTTACCTCATGATCTCACCAGTTCCCTGGAACTTTCAGGCTCTGTGACATTGCCAGATTTTGAGGGAATTTAGAAAACAAGTATATACAGGTAGTTCTCGATTTGCAACTATTTGTTTAGCGACTGTGCAAAGTTACAACGGGACTGAAAAATGGCACTTACGATCATTTTTCATACTTATGACCATTGCAGCATCCCCATGGTCATGTGATCAAAATTTGGATGGTTGGCAACTGCTTCATATTTAAGATGGTTGCTGTGTCTCAGTGCCATGTGATCATCTTTTGCGAACTTATGACAAGCAAAGTCAATTGGGAAGCCAGATTCACTTAACAATCTTTTTATTAGCTTAACAACTACAGTGATTCACTTAACCACTGTGGCAAGAAAGGTTATGAAATGGGGCAAAATTCACTTAACAACTGTCAAGCTTAGCAACAGAAATTTTGGTCTCATAAGTGATTGTAAATTGAGGACTACCTGTATAATATTATATTGCTCTAACATTCTCAGTGAAACAAGTTATCCCACAAAAGAAACTATATATATATTTTTATGTTCCTCTCTGTAGATGAATTCGTATATCTAAGCCTGAGCTTTCCAATTTACTCTCATCCTTATAAGAGAATAGAAATCAAGTTGGAAATGTTTTTATACTTGCCATTATTGCAATTGTGGTAGTAATAGCTATAGTTATAAAGCTGTACATCTTTCCACACCTGCTTATATTAGCTACTATACAAAAATGAAAATAAAAAAGAGACCAAAAGAAAGGAATAGGGTGGAAATCAGCATGCCTGGCTGAGGAATTCTGGGACTTGAAGTCCACAAGTCATAAAAGGGCCAAGTTTGAAGACCCCTGGTGTATATGCAGGAGTATACTTATGTGTGTATTTGTGTGAGTGTATATACTATAAGTACACTGTATACATATCTGTAGAAAGCTGGGTGAAGAAAAAAAAATGCATACAGGTAGTAAGGAAAGGATGAACATTATAGAAAAGTTCCGTATCTACAATCTGAGACAGATCACATCTGCAGATCACATCTTATGTATTTCATTTATTATTATTAATAGTAATAACATTTTATGAGAACACGTTATTGACAAAGAGTAGAGTGTTTAAAGCTATAGGAGTTTCATATCTAAATTTATTAAATTAATTTCTGATAATTTGGGGGGTTGTGAATTTTTAAAAAGGGTAAGACATAATTTGAAGATTAAAATTTTCTTGCTTGATTTCTTTTATTTCAGATGATATACGTTTGGAACTACAGAATAGCACTGACATAATAAACCAACTTATCATTTTAGCAAGACTATCAATAAATGTCTCTTCATGTGTGCTGCTTGATCGCATTCAGCCAGGCAGAACTGTAGAGGAAATGGAGATGATGGCAAAAGATCTGTTTCTAAGAAATGAACTTTTGGCAAGTAAGTAACATTGTCTGGATTTAGATTTTTTTCCACTGGAACTTTTAAAGAAATATCAAGATCAGACATATTATTTGAGCTAACCTGCCATGCCCATAATTTCAAAGTACTCATATGATCAAACTAATGCACATGTGACATGTTTTTCATTTTCAACGAATTAAATTATTTTACAACAAATAAACTATCCTGGAATGCATATGTGCAAAAACCAGCACACCACATCATTTTACTGCAGCCCTCTGGAAATACAGTACTTCTATTTCATAAGAACAGGTATAGGATTTGGGTTGAATGAAACCACAGTAGTAGTTACAGAAGTCAGGTGTAAATTACACCAACATAGCTGACACTATTCATTTTTATTTTATTATCTCTCAATTGATAGATCATCAAGGATGTGTGCAGCTTCTTTTGGGCTCAGATATAAACATACACCCTTATCATATACTAAGTATTTGATAATTGCAAATGTTTCTCCCTCTTTATTAAAGGTGTGATTTTCAAGTTACCTTCAAGTGGGAAAAGAAAACACATAACATCTAGTGGACTTTCCCTTCCACCATTAGTCAATTATACCATACGAATGAGCAGCAAGATTTCCCAAACAACAAAAAGAATACGAGAAAAAATTTGGACAGTGGGACCACATAATTCAGCCTCGCAAAGCCAAATCTACAGTCGAGCATTTGTCTACATCCAAGATAGCATTGATAGAGCAATAATTGAACTACAGACTGGGAAAAGTGCAGAAGAAATAGCTGTCCAAGTTCAGGCCATACCATATCCTTGTTACAATAAAGACATGTAAGTCTATGATGATTGGCAGAATATTTAATATTTTACTGGGAAAATAATAGCTAAAACATATTAATTATATGAGATTCCAGTAACAGAATACATGTTGATTTGTTTTTTAATCAAAACTCTATTACAACTGAACTTGCAAATTATGAATAAGTGAGACTTCCAAACTGTGATGTGCAATAATGCATAAGAAAGTTCATTCAGATAGCAGTTGGCTTGGCTATAATGACAATCCTTAGCATAATCCAAATCATAGACAATGAAATATTTTAATGCATTGAGCTTCTATTCAGTCCTTCCATTCTTTCATAGATTGCTTTATTATGTAATAGACTGCAATAATGTAGCTAAATAAAAAAATAAAATATATATTCTTCTCACTCCAAAACGCAACCAATTGTTGACTTATTTGAGTTAAACCCTATAAATTAAATTGTTCTATGTCTTATTTTAACAATAAGATCATTTTTTAAGTTTCTTAGCTACTGGTATGTACTGATTTTTAAACAAGTATCAAATGAAAGTTGGAATAAAATTTGCTTTTATTCCATTAACAGCAATTATGATGAATAATTTTTACTCACCACTGTGTTTAGGTATAAATGTGACCTCATGCTTAGTTGCATGAATTTTTGACAGATGGTCATCTAGCTTCTGTTTGATTGAATTCAGCTCATCACCCCTTTAATAATTGTCTTTACTGTTAAAATTAATCTTTATATCTTTACTTTTATTATTTTCCCTGCCTTCTTCTAACTTAAATCCACTATTCCATGCTCTGCAGTTCGTGATGGCAGAGAGCAGGATATAGCATTTTTCTGTCAGGTATTTGAAGAGTGTTATCATATCACTTGTCTTTCATGTAAGATCTATTGATTCATTATGTTCTGCATAGGAAGCTTTGCATAGGTATATGAGAACATGTGTTGTTGCAAAACCCCAGTATATGGAATGATCTCTCCGTTATGATGAGAAATATTATAAGATGAAGTGATTCAGCCAAAAATGAAAGAGTTCTATCTGGTTATTTCCATCATTCCATCAGTGCCAGCTATATGTAATAATCATTGATTTGATCTGGGTTTAATGTTTTTCTTGATTGCATTCACTGTATATTACTGTATTACATCACTGTAGCTTGATGATTTCATTGTGCACTGCTCTGGAATCTTTAATGAAATTCAGCATTAATAGGCTGATTTTTGACCATAAAACTAGATATTGAATTTTAGGGAGAGTATTGAAATATAAAACAATAGACTTTGGCTTTTGTGGACCATCTTACATCAGCTATTTCTAAAATTTTAGTATGTTTGCACACAAAAATCATCTGCACATGCATTTGTAAATAGCCTACCATTGGGAAAATATTGTCTTTATTAATTCCCACAGACATAGTGCCTATGTAACTTCTCTAGACAAAGACATTATTGTCTTTTTACATTCCATTCTATTTTATTTATTTTGTTTGCATTAATGCCATTCAGTTTTGGGCATATAAGCAAACCACTGCAAGAATGTTCACACTTAACATAAAATAACAGTTTAGATTCAGACTTTTTCAGTGGCTTCAGTAGGATTTACTTCAAAATAATTGTGTAAAATCTTATTGCCTAATCATATATAATTCTTAGCAGTATCTCAGATGTGTTTTGACAATTCAGCTCCTCCCAAACATAGTTTGTATTACTTTTAATTTAAACATTGCATGGCTTATTAAAAGTTGTTAGGAATTTTTTATTTATTTCTTTGTTTCATGTTGCGGGGATGTAAAAAATCAAATCAGTGATCAGAAGTCATGCAAAGTAGCTATATATATTGTATTATGCAATGTTTTGTAGTGCAAAAATTCATATCTCTGTACCAGTGTGATTAGACATTGAGGGAAGACATGAGATATTTGTCAAAGTAGGCCAAAGTTGTATATAGCAAAATATATTTCTGTTCTTAAAATGATCAAATACCTTTTAATTATAGACTGTGTGTAAGAGAAAACATTTTTACTGTTCAAAGGCTTTTACAGTACTTTGAAAATCATTTTAATTATAATTCACAAAGGGAAACTACTTTGCCTTTACCTAAATAATTACTTTGCTTTTTACAGGTTTCTGACTAGCGTGACCTACTCTCTTCCATTTACATTAATGGCTGCTTGGATACTTTTCATTGCAGCTTTTGTGAAAAAGCTTGTTCAAGAAAAAGACCTGAGACTTTATGAGGTAGGCTGAAGTTTTGAATACTTGCCAGGGCCTGAACCTTACTTGCATATTAATCCTGCAAAATTAGACTGCATGCATGCAGAGGGAATCCAACCATAGTATTTTTCTCTTGACATGTTCACAGAGATAATAAAAATCCAATCTTCTCTCCAAACAATGCAAGCAAATTCACTGGGAATTGCTATTAGAGGCATGGCTATGGGGTAGAGATATTGTCCTGACAACATGAAAGACTTACTGCTTAGATAGGCTGCTCATAGAGTTTCAGTATGGGGATAATAGAGCTAGTCATCTGCACATATGTGAATATTGTGTTGTTGATGTCTTGGGCTTTCTCTCTAAATGCTCGTTTGATATTGGATATACATTTAACACATATCTTGCCTACAGTGTATGCTTTAGTTCAGGCATGTCAAACTCATGATGTCACGTGATGTCGTGCGATGTATCAGGACTTTTTCCCCATTGCCGGCAATGGGATGGGCGCGGTTTCAGCGTGACACATCTGGCCTGCAGGCCGGCAGTTTGACATGTCTGCTTTAGTTATTACTTGGCTTACAGATTGTTCCAATTATAGTAGAGGCTGAAAAATGTATATGCTTAATACAGCAGTCAAACAATACATAATAATTAATGTATTGGATCAATATACAGATAATCTAGGTTAGCAAACAATTCATGTACATTTTTTTGCTGCAAAGAGGAACAGAATATCCAAAAGATACAGTTCAATAGTGAGAAAAGTAAGGTCCTACACTTAGGTAGGAAAAACCAAATGCAAATGTATAGAATAGGCGATACCTGGCTCAACTGTAGTAACTATGAGTGGGATGTTGTTGTCCTAGTAGATCACCAGTTAAGTATGAGCCAACAGCGTGTTGCAACTTCCCCCAAACCCAATGCTATCCTAGGCTGCATCAACAGAGGGATAGCATCATGAAAAGCAATAGTATTGCTCTACATTGCATTAGTGAGTCCACACTTGTGAAGGGTCAGATGAAAGAATATATGTGCAGATGAGGCCCTGGGGATCAGAAGAAGGATCATATGTGGAGATAGGACCCAGGTGTGGGTGTGATGGACATGAGAGTGAGGAAGATGAATTGTGAGAGAAACATTTACTCTTAGACAATTAAACAACTTTTTCTTTCTGCTCATAGGGGATTTGCAGTACAAGCTTGCTAACAGTTGACATACTTGATAGCATTGCAAGGGGGGCTGTGGGGGTGTGTGAGGGAGGGGGGCTACAGGAGCAATGAAGCGAAACAGATTCACAGATTCATCTGTCAGAAACCACTTAGCCAGGATGTTGGGTACATGAATAGCTCACTTACAAGAAAACCCAAAACCACATAGCTGGCACAGGAAACTAGAAGCTTTGCAAGATACCCGTGATCTGAGGTGGGCAATAGGTGGCATGACATTTAGCTATTTTGCATAGCAAGCAAGAAAGCTTTAGGAGGCTGCAATCCAGGTAACCAATCAATATTATGTGTTATGCATGTATTATTAGGGGAAGGGCAAAGGGATGTGTTGGGAAGGCGAAGGGGTGTATGTGAATCACCTTTGATTATAAAAACTGCTGTAAAACTATAATTGGGGCCTTGGTAGCTTTCAAAACCAGGGCTACTTTCATCTTGGTACCAAAATAAAATGGTTATTTTGTTCCACATCTTGTGTTTGGTGCTCAATTGGCTTCGACAACAAGCTAAGACCCAGTTTTGGGGACAACACTTGGAATACTGAGTCCAGTTATGTTCACTGGAACAGAAAAAAAAAGATGCTGAGGCCCTAGAGACACAGAAGAGCAATAAAAAGTATAAGGGGTCTGGAAGCTAAACCGTATGATGAACAGAGAGACAGATTAGGGGTGACATGGTAGCTGCCTGTCTTCCAGTATTTAAGGAGCTGTCACAGAGAACTAGACTTATTTTCCAGAGCATCTGAGGGCAGGACAAGAAGCAATGTGTGTAAACTCATTAAAGAGAAATATAAACTGGAACTAAGGAGAAATTTCTTGACAGAACAATTAATCACTGGAACAGCTTGCCTTGTGGGTACTCCATCACTGGACATTTTCAAGAAGAGATTGTAGAATCCTTTTTTCAGGTTGTATAAGTTCTCCTGCCTTGGGCAGGGGGTCTGACTAGAAGACCTTCAAGGTCCCTTCCAACCTTATAAATCTATGATTCTACAACATACCAAGTTCTAAAGACACTCTGAAAGAACTAAGAAAGAGACAGAGATGGATAGATCTTTTCAAAAAACTTAGGAGCATAATCGTTGACCAAATATTTGGGGGAATCTTGTTCTAGAGACCAGGAGAAACAACACAGAAGTCTATCCTCCATAGATCCAGCACATGTCACTATGTCAGAGAAGAGGATTTGTATAAAGTCCTCTCTTTCTGGGCTTAATGGATGGGCAGAAACTACTAGGAAGAGGCAATTGTAAAGATATACAAGTCGTAGGCAATGAAGGGTTTTAAAGGGGACATCAGCATTATGAATTACAGATAGTCCTCGAGTTACGACCCTAGTGGAGCCTGCTCGTTAGGGTGGGAAATCACAATAAACATTAATGCCTCAAGTAATGACCAGCCATCCCTGATCTCCCTAGTGTGTTTGTTAAATGAATTCATAGGTTGTTAAGTGGAGCTCAGTAATGGGGGAGATACTGGGAGGCCTAGTGCAGGCAGAAGCCTATCTGTCTCAGGCCTTCCAAGGCCTCCCTCACCCCGGGAGTCAGCCCACCACAGAGCTGACTGTCTTGGCAGCTAGAAACACTGAGGAAGGAAAACACTGTGAATGCCTGCCTTTCCTGTTTCTTCTCCTGCCCTTCCTCCTACTAAGGTGCTTTGCTTTTGGTGGCAAAAAAGAAAAGAAAAGAACCAGTTCCCTAACCTTTCAGAACTTTCTGGCTGCTGATCAGCAAAACTCTCTGACTGTTGCTATGCTTTGAGAAGCCAGACCGTGCATGCAAAGGCATTAGCTTGAGGTGGGGTGGGGAGAAATATCACATCTGTCCCTCCCAGCTTTTTTATTTTGTTTATTGAAGAAATTGGGTTTCTGGGGGAGGGAGGAGGTTAAGCAAGGGAAAGGTTTTAGGAAGGTTGTCCTGAAGTTTTCACATTTGCATGTAGGGGCTAGCTTACCAAAGCCTAGCTTACCAAAGCCAGCCAGGAGAGCTATGCGGCCTCCTGATGGTCAGCTGATTGGGGCAGAAAACTCTGAAAGCAGCCACCATTTCTGCAAGAAATTATCAGGGCCCTGAAAATGGTGACTGCTTCCAGGTTGCATGGGGAGCAAGCCCAAGTGCTGTGGGGTCCTGTCGGGGCAGGATGGGGGCAGGAAGAGAGGTGGGAGTCTCTAGCCTCCTTGTGATCTGTCATAAGGGAGAATAACTGTGGGGTACTGCTGCTTTCATAATTTTGAAACACATTTGTATGTAGTATGTTTTGGGGGGGGGTATGTTTTAATTTTGAATATTTTTTAAGTGGCCTGACATTTCTTAAGGACTACCCAAAAGCAAACTGGTAACTACTGAGTGGTTGTGTTATGGGGTTAAATTGTTTCTCATGCATTCTGGACATTGTAGTTTCTGAGTGGTCTTCAAGGGCAGTCCTATTTTCCACTATAATAGGGATTTTTTAAAAAATAAATAACCTAATTGTTAAGTCCGGAGAATAATGGTGCTTGAAGCAATGCATTTCCAACATGACTTTATTCTCTGACTACAATCTGCGAACAACCCGAGCAGAGGCACGCAGGCCTCTATTTATACCCTCTGATCCCCGGGCAATTCCAACCAATCACAAGGCGGTCTTTTCCCGCCTTGCGCATGTGCGCAAGGCCGGTGCCGCTCAGTCTGGTCCCGGGCAGCTTTTGCAAATGCCCGGGACTCTTGCAACGTCCCGAGCCTGCTTCCGCAGGCTCCGGACACAACACCCCTCCCCCCTAGATAAAATAATACTGCGTCCAACATGGACGCCACCATGGTAAAGTGTGTATTACTAACTGTTGCATTAATTTTACAGTGTGTGAGAGAGATGGGGCCGTTCTGTCGTTCAGAGAACCAATGTGCCCCTACCCCGTTTCCACAAGTCAACCAGTCTGAACCTCTAGTTCCAGTTGCTATATACTTGCTCACCTTACGTAATCTGCAAGGTATTTGGGAGGGCCTTTTACCCGTAGCGACCTTCTCGGACCTGGGGAACTTGTAGTGTTTTCCCGGTTGCTTTCCACGCTAGGTGAATTACCCTGTGGCTGTCTCGTGACTTCTGCCTGCCTTTCCTGCCCGTCTCCTAGGCTCGTGAAGTCAGGACTCTGCTGTTCACTATACCTGGTTGACCTACCACCTATGGA